CCTTCTCAGCCTCCCCAGTACTGGAATTACAGGAATGCACCACCACACATGGTTTTGGGACCTGCAAATGCACTTGGAGTTGCAGGGCCAGCACAGCATGGGGTGCAGGGTATCAAACTTGGGTTCTTGTGCTTGCCAGATAGGTGCTTAGACCACTGAGCTAGCTCCCCAGTCTGCCTCTTCATATTTCTGGAGGATAAATTCCTTTGAGAGTTAACATGATAGTATTGAGAAATTTATTTTTTGATGCTTTATAGCTGATTTATTTTTATTTTTAATTCATGAAAAGAATGTTTTGTTCTTAATAGTAATGAAAAAGTCAATTACATATACTAGTATAGTATTTGTGTCTCCTTTTCTATTTCAATAAGCCTATCATTGATATTAAGAATAATTTCAATAATAGTTATAGTTATATACATATATAGTTATATACATATGTTTATATGAAATATCACAAAATATGTTTTTAAAATAATGTTATAATGTGTATACATCTTTATTTTAGTAAGCTTGACTGTCCATGTGGATGGATTGTGGAGTAAGGAAAAATTTTGCTTTCCCTGTACATCAAGAGAAGCAACAAATAGAATAAGAAAAATCTTGGTACCAAGATTTGAAAAAGTTCTACAAGGTAATGCTCGGAAGTTTTGTTTCACATACTGTATAAAGCAGCATTCCCATATCGATAGATGGAATAACTTTATCTGCTATGAGGTAACTTGTGTCCTGCCAAAATGAATGTATTATTGATCTCCTGACCCTACTATCTAACACTGTGACTCTATGTAATAAATACTAAAATATAATTGCTGGATAATGAGGTCAAATATGTGCTGAATCTAAAGTAACTGATGTCTGTATTAAAAGAGGACACCACGATGCAAGCATACACAAAGCAGATCATCTGTAGATATCAGCTACAGCCCAGGTAAGAAGTCAGAACAAACCAGCCCCACGGACAGTTCAATCTCAGACCGCTTGCCCGAAACCAGGTTTACCTTGTTCAACCCACTTCAGGGTATGACATGTGTTTGAAAACCCTACAAAATTATAACATCTATGGTACATTTCTCAGAGCGCAAGCATGTTTGTTTTTTCACATTGTCATTTCTTGTTTTTTACGTGGTTTCTGTGTACTTTCATGATAATTATTTAAATAAAATTATATAAATGATACTTGATGTACATCTTTACAAACCTACTGGAAACATGTTACTTAGCATATTATTTTCACAGCTTTTTAAAATATATTGAAATTCTGTTTTACAATATTTGATGTTTCTTTTTAAGAAAGCATCTAGGATACTGTATATATCTATTAATATGCATTTATAAAGGAAGAAAGACATCAACACAGAAATAAAAAAGGTTAAACAAAAGTATGGGTTTCAATGCAATGAAAGCAAAGCATATTTATAAATGTAATAATATCTACTTCCTTTCTAAACTCCTGTGTCATTCTGGCTAGGGCATCATTACTAGTTTGCAGGTTTTCTAATTCAATAAGTTTTTCTCTCTTTTCCGGGTATTTTTACTGTGTCCTAATTTAAAACTATACTTTTTCTGAAATTCTTGCTTCCCATAGCTCTATCCATCCTTTCCCATTCCCCAGTTGTCTCTACTGATAAACTGCAAATGCTAACCTCTAATTAATCCCTATCTCTCAAATGATAAAAACGAATATTTTTCTACCACTTTCATAGATATTTTTCTGGTGGAGTTTAAATATTAAAATGTATACACACTATGACGGGAATTGTAGCCTTAGACTTCTAGAAGAAGTTGGAATAGGAAATGATATCAATACCCATTTAAAAAGCCTCACAGTTTAATTTACTGGATTTTCTTTTTTGCTTCTTTAGATCCAAAGAAATTCAATACACATTTTCTGAAAACCAATCTCCATAAAGAACTAATGACTTTCATTCCCATCCCTCTGTGCAACTGGGACATTTTGCTATGGTAAAATTATTATCAGTCCTTTTAAAGAGGAAGTCAAGAGACACACATAATGTTTAATAATAACAGAGCTTAAACAGCTAGTAGCGATGAATGCAATGATTTACACTAAAGAGTCTAAATGTGGAGGTCATATAGTTTTTTCACAAAGGCATAGTATTATTTTAATTAGAGAAATTGGTTTAACAAAATGATTTAATCAATTTTCATTTTGCCAACATAAAAATCAAGATATATATATATATATAATTTTACCTAACGAAAAACAAATAGAAATGTTTCTAGTGAGTTGGAAAAGCCCTTCCCAATTCATAGATAATAGGGTTCATTACATAACTATTATGCTGTGATTTAGACACATAATCTATTTCAACACTAAGTTTGATGTAGTTATGTATAACCTAGTAGTACTACTAGGTTAGCACTGATATTTAAGCTGGTACGGAGGGGTCATTTCAGCACAAACCCGCCAAATATGTGCGTTCACTGAAGTAGATGATAGTTCTTGAAAACCTTTGGTGGAAAACCAATAAGCATTCAATTCCTGGTTATATTGCTTCCTTTTTAAATATCTTGAAATAAATAGACAAACTCCAACAGCATGCTACACTGACTTCTTAGAATAGCACTGTACAGTTCAGTATACAAGCAGGTACCTGACATTCAGAGAGACCTAGACCCATTCATTGAAGGTTTCAAATAAATCCCATTCTGAGTTTTATCTTTTCCACAATACAATCTGGGGAATACTACCTACATGCTATGCTGTACTGTGAATTAAGGTGACAAAGATTGGAAAAAAATGCTTGGTCCTTAGCTAGTCACTGTCAAGTGGTCAATTGAGAAAACTTGAATGTTCAGAGGGCAGCAAGAGAAGGCTTTGTTCAGAGTCCACTGACAGAAATTCTGAGGTTCAACGGGTTGGCCAAAAGCAGCGGTTTATTCATGTTTTACAAACGTGGTCTTACAAACATCATACAGAGCTGGCACAAAAGAACAGACACCATCGCGTACACCATGCTTCCTTCCAAGTCACTTCTACGGAGCTATGACATCAGAACAAGTTGGTCACTGAGTTACAGAGTTCTTCAAACGTGGATAACCCCCATTCGGGTGCTTAGATAGACTAATCAAACAAATAGTTAATTTACATGTTTAATACAGTGCAGAATTTGCAACAGAATTCAAGATATTCACACTGATATTGTCATAGATTATAAACAGTACAATTTTCAGAAATGATAAGATCATGTATCTCCCTGCCTGTTTTAGTTCCTTTCTCACTTTTCTCCTTTTTTGTAAAAACTGATTTGAAACAGCTTTACTTCACTTTTTACACTCGAAACACTTGAAATATTAAAACGAAGTAACTATTTACAAATTATCCATTGTAATTTTAAAAGAACATGTTGTTGGTTTTGTTGTTCCACTTTAAAAAGCAAAATCATCCCTTCCAATAAACATAGCACAGCTGGTATCAGCATTAGCCTCTGGCTGTTATGCAGGATGTTTACAACCGAGTCCTTGTATCTTTACAGAGCCCTAAAATACATTATTTCTATGGCCTGTGATACCAAGCATACATACATAAAAAGGCCATTTGGCTTCCCCAAGGTCCACACTGACTGCAGTTCATTTGTGTCACTTTCACGGAAATTCTGAGTGAACCAAGATGATGTGAGATGACTTCATAGTGGAATGAAGATCACGATTGGGGAATATTCAGTTTTTAATCCCAAAGTCATCATAAAGCACAAAAAGAAGTTGATTTTCAAACTTTATACACATAGAATGTAATACATTTTCATTACACTAGGCATAGTCATAAAAAGCATGTTAGGAAAATGCATTTTCATAGAATTTACAAACACTGTGATATCAAACACATTCTCAAAAACTGTTAAAGTACTGACACAAAACCTGACTTGAAATGTAAATTTTTCAGTAGACTTTAATCTTGCATATTTAATAATTCAGCTGTACCCGAGTTTTACTCATACTTCTCTAAAAACCCAAATATAGTGACATCATCGTTAGGTTCATAATTTTCAAATAATCACAGGCTACTGCTTTCCTCTAGTAGGTATAGTGAACCTTGGCACTGGAAAACAGAACAACACACAAGTCTTAACTGTCTTATATTCAACAGCTCAAGACAAGTGAGCCAAGAAAAGCGAGTGAAAAACACACTTTCTTGTACAAATTTCACAGTCTGCAGTACCGGTATACTGTTGTGAACATATGTAAATTATTATAGGTTTACTCTTTAATATTCAGTCTTTTTTGGTTGGTTTCAATTTGGCATTATACAACACATCAGGGGATTTTTTTTCTTTTCTTTCTTTCTTTTTTTTAATTTTTTTTTGTCTTTTTCAAACCATTTAATTCTTTCTTGAGGAATGTAAATTAAAGACTAACTTGGCCATACCCACTGCAGGTACAAAGGATGGCCTTGAAATTATGCTTGCACACTGTACATACTTCCTACAAGAAAACTGTTTTCCTACCTGACTTTCTAGCTGAAATGTATTTCTTTATCAACTAGCTAATTCAACAACTTCACAAAGGTAAACAAGGGTTTCTTAGGCCACACTGAGACTTGTGATAGGCAGTGAAGAATACAAGGCCATGGGTTTTATGTGAGGTTATATTTTACATTTTGACTCACATGTAACCTTAAAGGGAAGAAAATCAAATTTCAGCCACAGTGTTCTCAGCTCAGCCCTTTGAGAAAAGTATTTCTCCTCCTATTCACTGTCCTTTTGAAATGACCCTAAGTTTCTCCTCTTACGATAAAATTGTATCAAAGAATTACAGACAAAAGAAAAATGATCAGATATTTTATATGCAGAAAACCATTTGCACATGACATCATAATAAAAACATACTGGAAAACATTTCTCTTTATCTTTGGGTTTAAAGAAAACTAGTTCCCCAACCTGAAGAAAGATGGATTAATTTTCATAAGCATGATTTTCCTCTTTAACTACTAATCCCTTAGACTTCCAGTAACATACTCATTTCTGAAGTATTATCATAATTTGGATTATGGTACAAGGTTCATAAAAAGTTGATCTGTTCCTCTTCATATCACTGGTAATCTGTAATAGAAATTGAATATCTTATGAAAATTTATCCAACTTCTCTAATAAAGGGGGAAATTATCGTGATACACACTCATAGTTACTTTCTGGTCTACAAAGTCAATGCACCTCTAAACAAACAAAAAAAAAGTAGCTTGCTATGGCACAAGCTTACAATCACATTTAAGAAATAAAAAAACCTCCTTGCCTAGGAAAAACCCTTAAGCTCCAGCTCCTGGCTGGGTTGCTAACCATCACAGAGCATATGCCACTTGGCAATCTGTCTCCTGGGGAAGTCGCAAATCTCCTTCCAGTGCTCCCCAGCGGTTCCTTCTGCTGTTGCACCCAGGACCAACCGCCCAATTATCTCATTTTGGGACCCCCTTTCAGAATCCAAAACCAGAAATTCAACACTAATATCTTCAAGACCCTCACAAGGAATATCAAAAACAAACAGTTCATTGAATACTGCATTGGGGGTGCACTTCTTCACGTGTGTCTTCTTTTTGGAGATCCTCTTTTTGGCATGGTACAGGTTCACTTTGACGTAAGGATCTGCAATGGTAGGTGAGAGTCATTACAACGGCAAAGCCTGACAATGTTGGAGAGGCGTCCTCAGGATAGCTAAGCCCTTTGAGGTTATGGCAGACAGTACAATGTAGTTACAGTGGGAACAAGTGAGAACAGATGGTAAGGATGGGTAAAGTTTGGCTTTTTTATTAACAAAAGCAAAAATAAGAAAAAATAACAGACAAGAGAGGACAAAGTAGTTCTAAACCAAAGGCTACAGGAGAAATTGTAGTGGTAGAAAAAGATAAAATAAAAAAATATGAATAGAAAATTTTATGATAATTCTCTAATTATCAGAAAATTAGAACTGTAAGATTCGGGGTAGGTCTATGTCTGAACACAGGCTATTGTTTTGTTTTGTTTGCTTGTGTGTTTGTTTTCTGTTGAAAGATTTGCAATCACTGTCAAAGTCTTTGGATTTAGCTTTTCTGTGGTTCTTACGTCACTTGCTAGATTAGCTTTCTATTTCCCAGTAAGACATTTTCTATATCATTGTTAGTGTGAAGATTTAATATTCATGCTTATTATGTATTTAGTGATTTTACTTTGCCTTTCTTATTGTAATATGTATTTTCAACTTCATCATCAAATAGCTAAAGTACCAATAGGTAATTTTCAAATGAAGCACCTATTTCTAGCTTTCATCATGAAAAAGTCAGTATAACTATGTTCCATTCTTATAGCATTTTTAAACAATACACAGAAAAGTATTATGCTGTAAAACAAAAGCCTTAGGATTTCAATTTAGAATTCATACATCATGTTCTTTCTCACCTTACTCTGCAAAGAGGATGTGATGTCTTTTGTGAAGTTATTCACAAAATTGAAAACCTCTCTTTAAAATATTTCTATAATATATTAGAGAAAAAATAATAGAAGAATAAGTGTAAGTGAGGTTTTTAGAAACACTAAAATTTAAAGAATCTTCTAGGACTTAATTTTATTTTCTCCTCTGTGCTTCTGCCAGTGCTCTTTCAGGTACTCGTGCGTCACTCTCCTTTCCAACCTGTTTGATCAGCTACTTGCCATGTAGTGCTTTGTTTTAGCTCTTAGGACTAAGCAGATGCCAGCTATTGCACGTAGCTTTGATGAGCACTATTATTTTCAAAAGTGAAAGAGAAATAATTGCATAACTTGTGATTAAATATAGAGGTAAAACAAGAGTAGTCGTTCCCCATTGTTTTCTGTACACTAACCATTTAAATACTGCAGGTAAGTATTTCAAAAGCGTTCTTACCTGAAAGTCCAGACACGTCGGACTTAGGCAGGTGTCGCGCTTTCAGGACAACCACAGTGAGGGTATTCGTAGTGGACTGGTAGCAGAGAGAGATCAACAGCTCGCCCCGTCCTGAGGACTTCTAAACAAAGAGAAAAGCAGTATAATTACTTTTATTATTACTAGTTTTAGTTTTGAAATTTGTTCTTTCATCAAAAGCTTTATGATAATGTGATATTGTTGCTACTTAATTTTTTAAAAATTGCATTCTTATTTTTATATGGTAAGTAATCTAAGTAAGGGAAGGCTGCTTTGCGGCTTGGTCATGCCTCAAAGTGCTTCTTGCCATCTTGTGGTGCTTTTAGGTATTGCAGGATTTAAAATTGGAAGTGAACTGGCCACACCCATTTGTTACCAATGTTTTATTCCACGCAAGGATTTTTTTTTTTTTCATTTTGATACCATCTCTACTCTTTGAAACTATTAATAATAAAAAAACTTAACACTTGAATGGGTGGGTATAGATTGAGTGCCACACTTTAAATTTGATTTGATTTCAAATCCTTTACCACTGACAATTTGAGTTCAGGAAAAATTAGATTAACTCTGACCTCTGCTATACTCCCGGCTCAGTGATATAATAAAATTAAAGTTCTTTTTCTCTTCCTTACTTTCATGTCTCTAACCTAAGGAAAAATCTGAGTTTCAATGCTAGACAAGATTAGGAATTTTTTTTTTTAATATATTGGTTTTGGACAACACGATAAGGTCCTTTTGGTGTGATTCATACATTTAATTTATACTTAAAGACACCAGGTAAGAGGAATAAGAGCTCAAATTATAAATCTTAGTTGAAAGTATTTTAAGTTAGAACTTAGAAGTAAAAGGGATGACTTGGACAGAACTCAAAGCTGAAGTATATGTCCACAAACCTGACACAGACTTGTTGTATAAATTAGCACCTCAAGGGGAGTAACAGTGAGAGATAGTTACTTACTCCCACTCGTCATCTGACTTCTCAGAGAAGCTATATAATGTCTCCAGAATTTAACTGTAATTAATTTTATCATTTCAAGTGAAGAAGAGATCGTCAACCAACAGTCTAAAGTTATCTTCTGACTTAAAATAGCATGAGTTTTAAAGGAAACACAAATTACTACATATATTCTGTTCATTGAACTATGAAACTCAAACATACTTTATTCTAAAATACCAGCATTAAATCAAGTATGTTCTGCATTTAAAGTGGAAAAAGATTAAATATTTTAATTAATGTTATCAGTTTGCAATAATTCCCGAGTACCAAGTATTATAAATACAAAAGAGAGCAAGTCACTTGCTTTTATGTAACACCAAAAGGGGAGTTTATAATTCAATATTATGTGATGTTACCTCCTCAAAAAGCAATTTCTTATAAAGAATACAACTTTCAAATGCTCAAAAGGAATTGATTTAAATTTAAATTTAATTTTAAATTAATTCATGCCACCTTTGAAAACATTTGTTTGCTTGTTTATGATTAAAAAATGTTCATGTATGTTTTAAGTCAAATAATTCCTGCCACAACACTCACAAATCGAGTTAACAAAAAATTGAAATGAATGATATTTAGATATCTATAAAGAATGCCTGTATATTTCCTATCATTGTAATGCTTTCATTATTTCTGTTGTGGGATAAATTTATCTTCAATTGCACTACTTTGTTCCTATTTGATTATAATTAGTAATAATTAACAGAGGGTATACATAAAATTATCATTCTAATAAAAATCTTAGACACAAAAGATCACATTAAAGTAAAATAATTAAAACACTCAAAAATAATTACCCTAACATTTCTCTTGACAATCTCTCTGTTCATTAACATTTTTCCATCAGACAATTCGATTCCTGCAAGAGGAATAAGGACTTCTCCAATGGTGTCATCTCTTGAAAACCTATCAAAGCTCAAGACGGTGAAGTGCAAGGCCAACTCTTGGATCTGGGTGTAGGGGATCCCGTAGAATGTGAACGTCTCATCAAATGCTGGATCCAGGGTCTTTCTCAGCACTCTGGTTTTCACTTTGTGCTTCTTCTCTGGGAGGATTGTCATTTTGATGTATGGGTCAGAGGTCATAGACTGCTCATCCATGGCCGGCAGCCCGCGGGCCTCCTTGATATTCACCACAAATGCTTTCTTCTCAAAGTTGTACTCTAAGGAGAAAAAGAGAGTGCCCAGCTTCTCTTCTTTCTCTTCTAAAGTAAGGGAAGTGCTAGACTTTAAGCTATCAGGAGAAATTGCTTCTTTCTCTCCTTCTGGGAAGAACTTTGAGGTCCCGTTCTCCAGCTCAGAAGTAGTGCCAGCTTTGAGGTTTGTTTTGGGAAAATTGCCATTGAGATCTCTCTTCTCTAGATCAAGATGCAGTGAACTCTTTGGCACAGCAGGCTTATTCTTCACTTCATGTTTGTCATCTCCTCCAAACTTCTTTTTGCTATTTAGGTTTTCTGGATAAATATCAACTCCTTTGAGCACATGCACAAACTTGTAAGGAGGTGTCTTGTTAGATTTGGATGATTTTCTCTGACAGCAAATCCATGCAAAGAGAGAGACTGTGAAGACAAGGCCAAATGCACTGAAGATCCCCACCACTGCAGGGATTTCATCTGAAAAATAAAGTGACCAGTAACATACATTAAAGAGGAAGAGTAGACATATGAGCCTATTGGAAAACTATAATAGAACTAATAAGTTCTGCAGGTTGGATGGATTAAATTACTTCCCAACAGGTCTGGGAATAACTTCTGTTCACCTTTCACATTTATATTTAAGGTATACATATAAACAAGAAAGAAACTGATAGAAACTCCTTCATTTTGGTAGTTTTTCATAAATGAAATGAAAAGACTAAACTGGGCCTCTATCTGACATAGTGGTATGCTTAATAACCTTGATTTATCTTTGTTTTCTCATGTAATATGAGATAACTACAACGTGAAAGGTTGGATTAATTTCTTCTTTTTTCACAAATATTTTGAGGTTTTGTAATATATCACTTCATTCTAAATGTAGAACATTAAGTGCATATTCTTCAAACACTGAGAAATTTTACAGTGTTTATACTATGTTGTTTACTCAAGTTTTAAGCAGATAATGACTCACTGGATCACACAATTTTTTAAAACATGAGCTATCATCCCTCATTGTCACCTATTCATTAACATTTTCTATCCTTACTATGGAACAGTTATAAAAGAAATGCACATATAGTAGGGGAAAAAAGAACAAAAACCAAATCAAGCAGGTTGATAATATTAAATAATTTTTAATATTATAGTACTTTGTGTATAAGCTCAACATTTCTCAAATACTGTGTTATGCAAAATACAATGTAATTTAAATAGAACCAAAGCAGAACAATGATTATAAATAAATCTTTCCCTAACATGTAGTATGAACACTGAGTGGAGATAATCTAGAATTCATTTCTGTTCATATCTAAATTCCCCTAGCATATTTCCACGTGCAAGTAGTAAGCAAGTTGAAATTGGCATTGTTTTCTTGACTAAGGACACATTAAATCACGGACATTAAGTGATATTGATTGTACATTAAGTTTGTCATATTTCAGGTGTAAGCATATTTCTCAAGCCAAAGATTAACATTGTATAAGTAAAGCAGCATTGCTTCATCTGGGCCGAGTACAGCAGTGAGTAATATTTAACATAAAGTAAACACAACTAATGTAATAGTACCTACACTTCATTCTATTTTCACTCATTTTATTTTATTTTGGTACCAGGGATCAAACTCAGGACCTTGTGCTTGCCAGGCAGGCACTTCTGCCACTGAGCTATCTTCCCAGGACCTAACTCATTTTATTTTAAATAGTGCATAAAAATGTTAAAAGTCAGAGTCACCCAAGAGTTAAGACTTGTTTAACTTTGAGAAGATCAATCTTTTGTTGCCTCTACTTCCCTATTCTCTGAAAGATTTTGCCTAGCTACTTTGTAATTGCAAAAACTGACTTCAAAGAATACAGAATTAAATGAACAATAAATATATAAATGAGATCAAAAGCAAAAAAATTACAATAAAATTTCTGTAGATTGATGATAGCAAATAACTGAAACATCTAAAGATAAAATAAACAGGAAAAAATATATATATACATATAGTCAGTTAAACTGAGTATTACCTCCTCAGTTTTCCCTTTAATTTAAGTCTTTGTGGGAAAACATGTATGCTCCCTTTCTGGACTCTGATCATGTACAGTTAGGAAGCACAAGCTGTCATGAACAGTAGCAATTTTGTGGGAAATGTGAGAAGAACAATAAAAGCAACTGAAAATTAATCTCATCTAAGTATGCTAATAGTACACGCTAAACCGTGTTTTCACTAGCACAGTCTCTGGATATGTCTAAGTACCTAAATTTTTCTGATTTCAAATTAAGAACTGAATTAAGTATCAAGGAAATCAGCCCAATCACATAAATGAAAGGAGGTGAAAACAACACACTTAATACATATAAGATAACAAATTCCTTCTGCTTAATACCTACATCAGATGAAAGAAAACATTCAAAGTATCATGGGATGAACTGCAACTACCGTGTTTCCTATCAATAAGAGCTTAAGCTTTTGAGAGTAAAGATCATAGTCACTGTATTTATTTTAATAGCACTCATTTTAATAATCATTATTACTCATCTATATATATATAACTATGAAGAATAATCTGCTTTTAAAAGATACTTGTGAGATCAAGCCTTTGACACATAATTGGACCTAAAATATTTTTTATTTATTCTACAAAGTGCATGCAATTTGAAATATAGATAGAGATCTCTGGATTCAAGCATTAAGTATAAGAAAAGGAAAACTACATTGGGAAACAGGAGCCTTAGCTCAAGTTTCCAGTGGTTTTCAGTTAGCTGTGTATCCTGCGATGCTTCCTTCCTTCTCCGGCTTCTGTCGTCTCAACAGAGTGAAATACATGGTACATTCTCTAATAAAGTATATCTTTCAAATCCTCAGTATAGAAGTTATTTCGTGCCAGACTAAACTCTTATGTAACCACAGACATACTTCCCTCCTCCTAATAAAACAGAGATTTCCTACAAATCAGAACCGCCTACAAATTTCATGAAACCAGCATGCGAACAACAGACGCTTTTTCCTTAATTCACCTCATGCTGCAATTTACAGAGCTACCTGCACGTAGAGGAACTTCTGCAGGGAAAAAATCGCCTAACAGAAGGCAATTTAAAGAGAAAGATAGCAAGAAAAGGAGAGAACACAGAACTAAGCCCTGATAAACTGTTTACTGTTCGGACTTTTCTTTCAAATTAACTACCTTAAATCTGTATTCAACGTCTAATGGGGGGGGGGCACAGTTCGCCTTGGAGTAATCAAGGAACAACCGCAGCTGTAAGTTGAGTAACTTGCTTACCGAAATCTTCCCGGCTGGTAGAGATCGGAGCCATTTTTTTGCTGCGTGCTCTGTCCGAGGTGCTGAATGGAAAACTCCCTGGCTTGATTCACTTGCCTGGATCTGAAGCGCAGCTTTTCGGAGTGCTGAAAACAACAGCGCAGAGCCCAGGGGACCTGCGTCTGGAGCAGGGAGGAGGCAGAGAGGGAGGTCCACTCGCCCTCGCACAGTGATTTGCCACTGCTGTTCCTGTTTTGGGTCTTCTGAAAAGCTCGTCTCTCAGACTCCAGACGTGGCTGAAACCCGAATTGACGCAATCCTGACGCTACAGGGCTGAAATCAGCACCCCCACCCACCCAGTTAAGCCTCTCCTCCTCGCCCTCCGAGCTTCCTCCCTCCTCTTTTGAGGATTCAGCACACACTCATCAATTATTTTAACTATTGGACTACTAGATATTAGCTTGGCTATCCTAGGGGTCTCAGAGACACATAGAGATACACCCTGAAATTGATCCTTCTCAGTTCCTAGTACAAAAATCCCCTGATGATCTAGATGAGAAAAAAAAAGAAAAAAAAAACATGAATAATACAATTTGAGGAGGTAATTTTAAAAAATAATTAAAAATTCTGTATCATATGACCCATTATAAAACGTGAAAATGTGTTTTCTTGTCTCCTAAAATATTCTTTAAAATATTTTATGTATATTATAATAGTTATAGAAAATTCACTTAAAATTATCTATTTGAAATGATATAACCAAATGCTACCATAATGCTTTACATTCTAGTAACCATTAGGATAAATACTTTGCAAATGCTGTGCTCATACTGGTATCTACTCGAAATCTGACATATGACCAGCTGAAGTACTTAGGAAGAGATGGGCAGAATCCCTTCTGTGTTCAGAGTAATAAGACTAGTTCTGGAATGATACTTATGATTCAAGGCCCTGACTTCTAAAAGATCTATGAAAAACAATTACAAGAATCAGGCCAAAAATCTAAAATAACATTGTTTATTATTGGCTGCTGTAAAGGAAAACATTCCTTTTTTTCTGATTGACACTCTCTGGAGTGATGACCAAAGAGTATGCCTCTCAAAAACGTTGGGAAATTTATAAAGAAGAGAACTCAGGCTGTGACTCCAACTGTCACTTACTGCTCCACAAAGAACTCCATTGCTCTACCTCAACGAGGAAATGACATTCAGAGTGTGTTATGATAAGGGAGGAGGGGACCCTAGGGAAGTCTCTGAAAGCTACTGTACGAGTGGCAGCTTCCTGCACATTGGCAAGCAGCCACCCTGGGCGTCAGCACTGTGTCTGGGGAGAAATTGGCTTGAGTCCTTTGCATCATGGAAAATTTTATAAACCACAGTCTCTCCTTTCCCTTCCCTTTCTGCTTGCTCCCACACACTTGGCATTTTAGCATTCTTCTAACAGATTTTTTTTATCCCTTACATCTTTGTGCTATGAAAACACATAAACTAATTTGCTGCATTTAATCTTTCCACTGGCAGAGTCTGTGATCGCATCTTTATCACTCTGCCTCATTTAGATCACCTGCTCACTCAGTTGTGCATGCACCTGGTAGTATTTGTCCCAAGGAGTAAGCATTCATTAGAGGAAAGACAGAGTGTCATTTATGTGTGATGCCTTTTAAGGGAGACCAAATATATAGTGTGTGCTTTGTGCCTGTGTGTTTTCTAGTTGTGGTTGCTAACATATGGTTGAACGTTTTTATTATAAACATCAGTGTATTACATATATGTTATATATACATTAACATCTCATTAATTATACCTTCAGATGGCAAAATGCTGTCTCAAACCTGCCCTGATTATTTAGACTATGGTTTCCCAAAACTCCAAACTGCTGTTAATTGTCTCATTTTTGAGGACATATTGTGATAAGATTACTTCTTGCACAGAGCTAGTACAACTATAGTAACTGCTTCATTACATGCTTTATAAACTGAAATAAATGTTATTACTCAAAACTTTAATTTTCCTCATTTTCTTAAGATGAACAACTCTTTAACCATTATTCACTTATTTAGATAAGCTTCTAATATCCTCAGATGAAAAGTGGACCCCATACATAGAAAACCTTGCAAGTTTCTTATGGTTGAGAATCATGCCCTACCACAATATCGCATTGTTCTTTTTTTGATCCTGCAAACTAGAAATCAATTTGCTGACGTATCCATCTGATTCTTGAAGCAAGAGACTTAGGAGGAGGGATTGTTGCTAGGTAACCATCTTTTGGCCACCCAAGCCCCACAGCCTCAAACAAGTTCTTGGCCTGTGCAATACAGACTTCCCTAAATACAGTACTTCCCCCAGATACAGTAATTCATGCTGTTTCTTTCACTGCTGAATTAGTGCTGCTTTTTGTCTTCTTTTATTCTCAGATTGAAAACAACTAGAAAGATAGATAAATAGATAAACTTAGAAACAGTATACAGAATTCTTGAAATCAATTTTATGAAACCTAGTTAAATTTAAAAATATTGATAACTCATATACTTGTCAATTCTACTTTATTCATTGAATTTATTTGCACTAGTTCAGTAGATAATTTGATTTATAAAATGCATTTGTATATAATAATGTATTTTCATTTATTAGTTATATGACTTACTCTATATTTTAAACATAGCCGTGACTCATCCACATGGCTGACACTGACAAAGGATCTACAATCTGAGGTACAGGGTCTCAGGATAAACCCTGAGGGGATTTGACTGACCTTATCAGATCCAAAAGCTACAATTCTTGTTACATAGGTCTTGCTTTATCTTGGTCTTAACCATCCAGCAGAAAAGTATAAAAATGAAGTACAAGAAATAAAGCCATGTTGTTATGTTGAGCTGAAGGGGACTCAGGTCAACAACTTCTGACATTGCCAGTCAAGTGGAAGATCCAATACTATTATGGACTACTGGACTCTTAGAATATTTTGCTGAGTTCACACACCTATAATATTTAAATGATGGAACTAAACAGACTATGGGGATATAGATGAATGACCATTTTGTATCTATATGTTCAAAATGGTTAGGACAGATATATAGCTACATTCTCTTAATTCAAGGAATAGAGGGATTTCTTCTAATAGGGTTTGTAAATAGGGTACCATACCTGCATCTTGTACAACAAATAACCACTAGGAAGGCAGTATGCAAAGTGTTAATTATTGGAACTGTCTTACCAATTTGATTTGAAACTGTCTCATTGCTATTTATTTCTCAATAAAATTATGGAAAAAAGTATATCAAAACAACATTTTTTCTGAAACATGTTATTAATAAATATATTGAGAACTTTCTGCTAACCAAAAAGGTTTTTCAAAAGATTTGGAAATGTTAACATGTTGTTCAGTAACCTTTACTAATACCCAGACAAGTATTACAATATCATTTTGATAGTATGAAGGTGGAGAAGACTGAAGTATCTGTAAATGAAAATAGATAATTTTTTAATGTTTCTTGCATTCTATTAAGATTGCTGGCTTTAAGGTTAATGGAATAGATTTAGAATTCAAGCATATTCATGTTTACATTTTGCAAGGCAAGCTTTTCTTGTTCATGTCACAGAAATTCCACTACAATTCACTAGACCTGCATTTGTTTCTCTTACATTTACTGGGCACTTCAGTGTTTTGTGAATTACAGGATGTTTTTTATCTCAATTTTTTTTCTTTTTTTTTTTCAGAATCGGGGATTGAACTCAGACCCTTGTGCTTGCCAGGGAAGCGCTTATTCTACTGAGCAATCTTCCCAACCCTTAGCTCAAATTTTAAAAAGAAAATAACTTATACTATTTTTTTCTGTCTTCTTTCTTTCAATGCATACTTACTGTACTTCTCTTAATTTCTTGCCAAATGAATGAAAGTTTACATTTATATTAGTCCAGATGTGGAGTGCACTGACCACAGCTGCAATTGATACACTTTCCTATAGAACTGCAGAAAATTTTATTAGATCATAATTTACACCTAAGTTTTTCTACAGGGCTGGAAATATTTTATTGGATCTTAATTTGCCTTTATTATTTTTTGGCTAGTATTATCTTTTTTTCTTTTTTCTTTTTTCTTTCTTCTTTCTTTCTTTCTTTCTTTCTTTCTTTCTTTCTTTCTTTCTTTCTTCCTTTATTGTATTTTAGGACAGGGCTTATAGGGTCTACAAGGTCTCACTGCATAGATAGGACTCATAGTGATTCCCCTGTTTACAGCCTCCCAAATGCTGGAATTGCAGGCACACCACACCATACTCAGTCTCAATGGCCATCTCAGAAAGCTCTGGGGATGGGGCCAGCACAGCAAGCCTGGGGATTGAACTCCTGGCTCCTGAGTCTGCCTAAGCAGGAATATATTTTCTTCAGTGGAACAGAATCAATGCAAGATATATGATTTGTTAATTAGGTGGGAATAAAAAAATCATATGTTCACTAATTGACAAAGTCTCTGTGCCCACTGAAGAGCTGGAGGATCAAGTAGTTGATGAATCCAAGGAGATGGAAGTCACAGAAGAGGGGTCAAGAATATAGACACAGTGTAAGGTCAGAGGAAGGCCTGTAAGTTCACTAGAGAGGTTCACGTGTGAGTCTGCCCTGCAAGGCCTAAGGAACTGGAAACATGGAGGCTGACATCTATGACAACAGATTGCAACAAAGGATATCTTGCAGTCTGAACAACTACTCTGCAGATAACAATGTGCAGTCTAATAACCATTGTTAATCTACTCTCATCTTGTTTGGAAATTCTGTATCCATTTAATTGTTTTCTTTTTGTCATCTCTTTTAAAAACCAGACAGATTCCTTTCTTCTTTTCTTTGTTTTATTCTATTCTCACCCAGGAATACACGAGTTTCCAAGCCCAAGTCATCTTACTGGCTTACAAATCTATCACTCACGGAAACACCTAGAACTGTGCTTTACTAATCCACTAAGTGTTATTTTTCCTCAGTCATGTTGGCACTTCATAAATAACAGTCACGGCCCACACTTATCATCTTGGCAAACAGACATAGTTCCTTAAACCATACTTAATCTTCAAATAAAATAGCAAGCTCATATTTAGGGAAAACATGAAACAATAGTCCTGTGTACAAATGGAAATTTAATAGTTCCCTCCCCAGAATAAAAGACAAATTTTTTCTTTCTGTGATGCTTATTTTTTCCTAATATTCTGCCTTAAGTGTTATAAAATAGATTTAACATTATGTACATATTGATGCTAAATTTATCAATATTATGTTATAC